AGGGACTTGTTTTCCATCAAACGGGATATCATGGAAGCCTTTCTTAGCGCCATTTAATAGAGCGGAGACTTTTGAATCCATTCAAAGAAAGTTCTGCACTAGCTGTTTTACCTTTTGAAATACATCCATAGGTTATTCTAAAAGCTCTGTGGAAGAGTTACTTACTGGGCCAAACAACAGGTTTTGAGGAGCACATGAGAGACTACACCGAGGTGTTTTGAAAGGCAAATACATTCACTTCTCTCCTCTATTTGCAGTCTCCTAGAGCTTTCAATTTGCCTTGTATTTAAGTGCAGATTCCACAGCAGGACCTTCATAAAGTGGCCCCACGTGATGGTACCAGCATAATTTCTCAGCATCATTCTTTCGTACACACTGAACTTCAGTCACACTGTACTTCTTTTTGCTGTTTAAGAATTAATATATCTCTCTCCCCAACATTTGCAAATACCATTCTTCCAGGCTTGGCTCATTATTGGACTAAACATTTATTACTTTTTTTTCTTTAAGACAGGGTTTTAATTAATTCTGATCTATCCTTTTTATGGTTTCCTTTAGGTCTAAATGTTTTACCAAACATCTTCTTTCTTAAAGACCGTATTTTCCTGAGCCTGCACATAATGACCCAGACTTCCCCACTCTGGGAGTAAGAGTTTTCTGCACCGACTTCCTTTCAGACCATCAACGTACTTAGGTTTAATTTACGCCCAGGAAATAACTAACTGTGTTGCTTCAGCATTCACGATGCAACATGCCCTGTGGTCTAGAAGAAGACAGGATGCTGGTATTTTTTTCCATAGCTTCTGCGGAGCGACCACAAACTGGGTATTTCACTCATTTAGGTGTCGTCTGCTGAGCCTGAAATTTCTGGATGAGAATGTCCCATGTATCTCTAAATGATCTAAACTGTGCTAAATCATCCTTCTAAAGTTACAAGTACCAAATAAATACTAAAGTGGAAATGTGGGGAAAAAATTAAGATACCATGAAATATTCAGTGAACGGTTATCTCTTCTGTTTTGTTTTTCATTACACCCTAAAAAAAATTTTGAGATCATTATAGAGCCATATGCAATTGTAAGATATAATACAGAGATATTTCATGTACTATTTACTCATTTTTTCCCCCAAGAGAAACATTTTTCAAAACTATAGTACAATATTATGCAATATTGATATAGATATAATCCACCATTCTTATTCAGATTCCTGCAGTTTTACTTGTACTCGTGTAGGTGGGCTTGTGTGTATATTTAGTTATGTGCAATTTTACCACATGTATAGGTTTGTGTATCTACAACCATAGTCAAGATACAGAACACTTCCATCCATACAAGGATACCTAGTATTGCCTTTTTTAAACCACATCCATTTCCTAGCCCCTCTCCCTTAATTATAAACCCCTGAGAATATAATTTATTCTCCATTTTTGTAATTATGTCACTTCAAGATTGTCGTACAAGTGCAGAATCATACCATATGAAATCACTGGGGACATGAGTGTCTTTCACGCCACATTAATTCTCTGAAGATTCACCCAAGTTGTTACAAGTATTAGTAGTGTGCTCCTTTTTGCTGAATCTTATTCCGTGATGTGGGTGCACCACGATTTGGTTAGCATTTCACCCACTGAAGGACATCTGGGCTGTTTCCGGTTTTTGTCTGTTACAAATAGAGATGCAGTGAAAATTCATGAATAGGATTTGATGTGACCAGGACTGGGACTGCTGTGTAGTATGGCAGCTGCATGCTTAGTTTTACAAGAAGCAGCCAACCTGTATCCCAGTGTGGCCACACACTTTACATACCACCAGCTACGTATGAGTGAGTCAACTTCTCTGCATTTTTGCCAGCATTTGGTGTCATCACAAATTTCTATTTCATGCATTCTGATAGTTGTGTTAATATTTTGTTGTGATTTTAATTTGTATTTCCTTGACGGCTAATGGTGTTGAACAACTTTTCCTGTGCTTATCTGCCACCTGTATATCATCCTGGTGAAATTTCTGTTCATGTCTTTTGCACATTTTCTAATTAGATTATTATTATTTTTTTTAACATGTTGAGTCTTTTGAGAGCTCTTTTCATATTCTAGATCCCAGTCTTTTGTTAGATACGTGTGTTACAAATATCTTCTCCCAACCTGTAACTCATCTTTTCACCCTCTTAACAGGGTCTTTTGCAGAGCAAAATTTTTAAATTCAGTGAAGTTCAATTTTTTCAGCCATATGTTTTATGGCAGGTCTAAGAAGCCCCTGTCTCGGCCTAGATCATGAAGGTCTTCAGTTATTTTTTTCTAAAATCTGTATACTATTATATTTTACATTATGTTTTATATTTAACAGTAATTTAACAATGTTATTTTCATATTTCTTTTTTTCCATGTACTTTAGCATATATTCAGATGCACAGGAAAAAAAGTCCTTGATGAGTGAGATCATGTACGTAGAGAAGAAATGATGAGAAGGGTTGATGACAGGTAAACATGAAGGTAGTAGTGAAACTGGGGTGACAGAAAGAAAGTTTAGTAAATCATTTTTATGACATAATCGATTTAGTTCTCCAGAAATTATAGCCAAACTATTCTGAAGTTTGAAAAAAAAATCCTCAAATAATATTTCAATTTCATTACACTCCTCTCAACTTCCTGAATCAGGTGGAGAAGCCACAAAGAATGAGAAAAACTGCTGTGAAATGACTGAAAACCAGAAACACAAAAAATGTTCATATGCACCTTCTTCATAAAATCCAGTTGCTGTTTGAAAAAGGCTGGGATTGTTGAAATAGGATCTGAGCCTCATTTTCTGAAGATTAGTCACTAAATTTGAAGCTAGTATGTTATATACCATTAAACTTACCAATCGTTTGTTTAAAAGGCTTCTTTCTGGCTTTAATAGTGCATCACCAAAAAAGAATAATTTGGGTATAAAAGTAATGTAATTCATTAACATAAACTTAACATGAGGATAACAAAATTACAAGTACATGAGAATATATATGACCCATTAAACAAAGCGATTTAGTGCACACAAAAAATAATGACTGGATGATAAACAGTGTGGTGTAACATTCCCATGGTAATTAAAGGCATTTCCCAGGCTTGCATTAGAAAAAGCGTCACTAATACCGATAAAAAAAATATACACTAGAATTTTGGCTAAATCATTATGCTATATAATATCCCAAGATTTTGATTCTGTAATGGAAATATGGCAAGAAATCAAATTGCTTAAGTGATGGAAATAATTGGAATTCTGCTCTAATAAAATGCAAAGTGGCCACTTTGCAAAGCACAAAGTTGGAAACTGGCACTCAATTCACAAGGTGATGTAGAGCTTTAATTTTGCTTTTACTTTCTTTCATTTCTTATCCACCACCCTCCGTTAGAGAGTCAGCCCTGTGGTCGACAACAGGGGTAGAAAGATAAGATATACTTTGTAGAGGAACTCACAAAGTCAAGTCTGGAAAATCTCACTCACGTTTCACATTATAAGAGATTAGAAATTGCATTGTTCCCCATACAGCTGGTGCCTGGCAGTCAAGGTTTATAGATTGAACTTCTTTTTCTTCATCATCCATCAAGCCATGTGAAAAGAAACAATATTGTTAAATGAGGTCTGTATGTTCATCTTCTTTGTGGTAGAAATGTAGTAAGAAATACAGAAAACAGTTTTTTTCATGCAAAAAAATTTAATTGGTAGTACGCTAATCAATTAGCATCTTCATATTTTTACCCAGTCACCTCATAAATTGCCTTTTGCAACAATTTTTCCTTCATTCACAAACATTGATTAAGCATGCGTTTTGTGAAAGCATTCCAATACATGCTGAGGAAAAAAATAATCAACCAAAAAGTCACTGAACTAACAAAAGGTGAATCTTCTGGAAATCACAATTCAGTCTGATGACCACGAGGTCCCTGGGGAGCCTGTAAGAGGGCACCTAACCCAGTACGGGTACGGAGAACAAGTGTTGTCTACGTCAGTTTCCAAAGATGAGTAATAGTTATTCAGAAGTTGGTTTTCATCCTGGGCACAATTGAAAGTCATTAAAGAATTTCATGTAGGAGTTTGTCATGACAAACTTCTCTTGAAGCAGAAATGGAAAGGGATGTGGAAATCATCACAGTTGCACTACAAAATTAAAGAGAAGTGAGTCCTTTCAATTCTGAGAAAGAGGATTTTTTTTTTTAAAGATTTTGCTTCGTGGCTTTAAATAGCCTAATCTCCAATCTGCAGATGATAAATGGGTACTTTTTTCTCAGTTTTTCTAAAGCAAAACAAGTCAGTGCAATTCTAATTAGTTTTATATTTTATCTTTTAAAAAGCTGACTATGTTTTATATTCAATCATATTAAATTTTCAGGCCATTTTTAATCATCTGAAGAGTAATTATCTTTTTCAATAGTTGTACTGAGATATAATCCGCGTACTATACAATTCATTCTTTTAAACTGTGAAACTCAATGGTTTTTAGTATATTCACAGGTTGCAATCATCACCGCAGTCAATTTTAGAACATTTTTATCACCTTAAAAAGAACCCCTGTGTCCTATGGCCATCACCATCCTATCCTCCCACCCTGCCCTAAGCAACCACTAGTTTCCTTCCTGTCACTGTAGATTTCCTAGTCTGGAATTTCATAAGAATTTGATCACATATTTGGTATTTTGTGACTGCCTTCTTTCAGCTGACACAACGTTTTCAAGATTCATCTGTGTTGTAACCTGTATCAGAACTTCATTTCTTTGTCTGGCCAAGTAACATTCCATTGTTTATACACATTTTGTCTTTATCCTTTTGTCTGTTGATGGATATCTGTGTTGTTTCCAACTTTTGGCTATAAATAATGTGGCTATAAACTTTTGTATGGACATATGTTTTCATTTCTTTTGAGTAAATATCTAGAAGTTGAATTCCTAGGTCATGTGGTAACTTTGCATACAATTCTTTGAGGAACAGCCAGACTGTTTTTGATAGTGGCTGCACCACTTTACATTTAAAATTCCCGCCAACAGTGCATGAGAATTCTGATTTCTCCACTTCCTCATCAACATTCTTTCTCCTGAGTTTTTTATTCCAGCCTTCCTATGAGGTGTGAAGTAGTATCTT